TGTTCTCATACTTGGATCTTATGATCCCCCCCCCCATCTTTCATGGGGTACAACACACCTCAGTCCAAATGTTTCCATCAATCCTTTAGGATTATTCTTTGACTCTATTTGAGTCATCCAGCTTTTTGGACTTTATCATCCGACGACCCATGAGGTCCTACTTTTGAGGTGCCAACTCACTGGAATATAACTTCTTGTATTTAGGTCTTGCTCACAAGGACCATCTTTGCAAGTGTTACTTCGACACTTGATTTGTTCTCTTGGGGCAACCTTTTGCCCCTTGGGACCACTTGTCCATGTGATGAGAATACCAACTCATCTTCTGAGTACACCCCTAACTCCTTGGGTTGTTCCAACATTTATTAGAGGTAGCCCCGGCTACCATTTCAAGGATTGTGTCCTCTTCTGTATTTGACCTCCCATGGTCATCAATTCCGGTCTCAAATTATGAGCACTAGCCTCAACTATATGAAGGTAATCTTGTGACTCCTTTATTATTTTGGAGTCTTCATCTTTCCCATGATCCCAACTATAGTTGTTTACCACAACTACATTAGCCAGTCTGCTGAGTCAAACACTCATCTGGATCACATCCTTAACTCAATGAGGAAAACTTTACACTATTCCCAAGATCCCAAAGTCGTTCCATTATTGGCCCTTTTTTATCCACCACCTCACCTACCAATTCACACATAAACTATAGTGGAGAGCTATGTCTTCCCGACTTGCTACTCCTCACAAATAGGCCCACTTCTAGGACCTTCCAATGCCAACACCAGTGGTGATATACTTGAGCACCAATAAAAGTTAGATTAAGGAACAGCTCTGATACCAAGTTGTAAGCGACTAATTTTTCCATTCTATTCTAGTCACTTAACCACACCTCCAACCACTTAGAGGAGTCTCATTCACAACCTCCATAAGTCCCATTCAGGACTTGGGGCTTGCTAGCCCCGAGAATGGCATCCATGCCACTCAACCTTTGCACTTGGTCCAAGTGCTCCACATGTCTGATCCCATGACCGACACCCCAGGGTACCGCCGACATATGAGCCCGTTATGCTAAGCCACGCTCATTCACCTTAGTCACATCAGTGGTCTAACACCACCTGCATTGCAATCCCATCTCTCCAAGACTGGGCCATTCGCCCATGAGTGGTCATCTCAAATCCACTCCTTAGCATCCTTAGGATGCTCGTAGACATGGAGAATAGCCTTCCCCAATATCTCCATTCCGGTCTCCACCAAGTCCCTTTCTGTCCTTGGCCATATTCGCCAACACTGCCACTGGATCAAGGCCCATGGGCCCGACCACTAAATCCCACTGTCCTCTAGGACTTCCTCACTGTGTGACTGTGTTCTTGGTCACCACACCAGAGGGCTACTCCTCTTCCTTTCCACAGACTGGGACTTTGGGACAACATTTCGAAACACCGTGGCCCTACGCGGGCCTTATGGGTACTCTCCCCGCCTTCTGCCTTTAGGTGCTCTAGCCATAAGCTTAGAGCAAGGTTCTATTGAGCCACGCCAGGTATCCAAGTAGGTAGTGCCACCCACACTTGGATTGGGAGCATCGGCCATTCGATCTCCCAGGGGAACTAGAGCCGGCTCTTGAACATTTCACCAAGCTACCCCACTTGACAGTCCGTATTCACTCTAGCCTTGGATCTCCTAATGGTTATCCCGTCACCCAACACCTGGGCACAGCCTTCCTGGGCCAAACTGGCCTTTCCTGGCCAAACTGGCTCCACTGGAGTCCTCTCCCTACTATACTTTTGGAGCTCACCAAACCCCCTAAGGTCTAGGAGACGAACGCTTTGGGCTTTCACCCTCTCAAACTCAAACTCAGACTTGGACTCAGACTCAGACTCGGACTCGGGCTTGGGCTCGGTCTCGGCCTTGGTCCCGGTCTCGGTCTCGGTCCTGGTCTTGGTCTTGCTCTCGGTCTCGACTTCAGACTCCATCTCGGGTCCTTATTGGACTCCATTTCGGGTCCATCTTGGACTCTATCTTGGACTCCATCTCGGTCCATCTTGGACTCCATCTCGGGTCCATCTCGAACTCCATCTCGGGTCCATCTTGGACTCCATCTCGGGTCCATCTCGGGTCCATCTTGGACTCAATCTCGGGTCCATCTTGGACTCCATCTGGGGTCCATCTCGGGTCCACCTCGGACTCCACCTCGAACTCCACCTTGGACTCCATCTCGGACTCCACCTCAGACTCCATCTTGAACACTTCCACGTGTCATGTTTCAGTCCTCTTGTGTCCCCTTTTCTAGAGACTCACTCATGGCTCGCCTCGTGCTTGTTTCTCGAGCCCTTCGTTAGGAGTTCCACTCCCACTCTCGACCTTTTCAAGTCAGAGCTTTTAGTCCAAACATGTTACGCTCGTTTGGCTTTCGCTTCGGCCACTACCACATGGTGCCCTTTTGGCTCCACTTTGGGGCCTAGGGATTTTGTGTCTCACAAAAAGCTCCTCAAGAATGGTTCTGCTTACTAAAGCTTGACATTTGGAAGACATATTGTCTGTCCGACTTTGGTTCCATCATTTACAACTTGGACAAATAAGTTTCTTGTCTTTGCTTCTGGTTTTTTGGTCTCTAATTTTGTTTTGGGCTGTTGGTTTTTTACAGAATAGAAATACCTGATAGATATCTCTTTGAAAAGGAGAAATGGCTGGAGGTTTTGGAGTAGCTCTTAGCTTCAGACGATTTAGCTATTCTTCAAACAAAATGTAGAGATTATATTTGCAAGGGTAAGCTTTTTCACTGCATTGTTTTACTTCACATGTTTTTGTAGAAACAACTAAGCTTGTTGTACTTATTGTTGACATTGAATCAACCAAGCATCAAAAGAAATTTGACTTTTTATAGTACTTTTTTACAGTGGCTTCCAAGGATGGCAAGCACACTATTAAGGTTGACCACTACATCAACCATTGTCAAGTGTTTTTGGATATTTCCTATATGATCCTAGATTACAAGTTTTCCTTGGCATTCACTACAAGTAGATTTTTAGTTCATTATTACTATTTTTGCTATTTCTTCTATTCTTAAATTCTTTTTTTCAGCATGGACGAAGACACTGCCTAAAAACGGTAAAACAAATCATTGATATGTTATGCAATGCAATCACAAAGTGCCAGAAAGCAAAGGTCAAAAAACTTATTTCTGAAATATTAAATCTTAACAACATAGATCACACTGGTCAAGTACCCTTGGTTGTGGCTTGTGCAGTAGGTGATCAAGTTATTATTAAACTGTTACTACAAAAAGGGGTAAACAAAGACTTTAAAAGTTTTCAAAATGGCTTTTTTTCACATCTGTTAATGCTTTTGGCTTTACAAATGCTTTTGGAATGTTCCTGTACTTTAAGGTAGTCAAGCATCGCTTGCCATTCAGTCTTATTGAAAACTTCTCATTAGCACCAGCATTGGTTGGTATAAATGACACTGCAGATAACATGTTGCACACCATGGGTTTCATGGATGAAAACAAAAAATAAACTATGAAGAAGCATATGTGGGAGTTAAAGTGAGTTTTTGAACAAATTCTAAATGCCTCTAACTATGACAAGCCCAACGATTTACAACAGTCAGTAACTACTCAGGAGATGGCGAATTTCCTACTAGCACTAGGAGGTTCATAAGACTAGGAAAACTTGGAAAACTTAAAAATCTATTAAAGTAGCAAGATGTTTTAGTTGTTAGTAATTAAAGACCATGTACTACTTTAGATACCTAAAGCCAATATTTAAAAACTAATCTATAAGGCTCATCCGTTATAAAAAGATAACCGTTAGGAATCTGAAGCATCATTAACTATTTACTATTACCTTATTCCCTAGCTGCAAGAGATAAGGTTTAGGGCAAGGGTATTTCATAGAGTTTGTTAGAAGGCCAGGGCAACAGTGTTGGAAGGGAGCTAGAGATCGGCCACTTGCAAGATTTAACCTACATTTCAGGCATTTAGATGGGTAAGACCCCCAATCATATAGATAGGAAGGCTGCATTTTTTTAAGACACAATGGTGAAAAGGGATGCTTATTAAGGGTCTTTTTCTCAACTTTTGTTTGTGGCATCTACTTAAAGATGCACAAAGCCACCGATCAAGATCCTAAATAGAAAGCTCAAACACCCCTCATCACTACTTTTTTTCAAAAATGCACAACAGTGAAAGAGTTTTTGGTCTTTGGTTTAAAACTTAGTTACTCATCTTTGGCAATTTTTTAGTGATGCACAAAGTCACCTCGGCCAAGGAGGATGTCGACACATTTAGTGATGCAGATGAGTGGCAGTGTCTTGAGGATGGAGATGACAAGCCATACGTGTGCAAGCTCGAGAACGTCCTTACACACCCCCTGAAGGGATTTTGTGACAAGCAATTTTTCGACAAAGCATCTTTAAATCAGCATAGAATCAGATTCCATAACCGTGAAATCGTAAGTTTTTTGTATGTTTTTTTTTCTTTTCAATACTTTTCTTTTCTAGTTGACAATGCTAAAATCTGGAAATGGACATGGGAGGAAGAGTAAGCAAGAGTCCTCTTCCAAGAAATACCAGGTAAAGAATTTTTGTTCTTCAAAACTTACATTCAAATTTTTCTGCAAATTTTTATTATGCAGACTTTAGAAGACCAAGTGCAGCTTCACAATGAAGTGTTGCCACGTAGACTGGAGAACGAAAAGTTGAAGCTTCTGAACATGAAGTATAACCATATCAAAGATGAAGACACCCGGAAAATTAAAATCCTGCAAGATCTAAAAACATGGAAAAAGCACTACACCAATTTAATGCTGGAAAATGACAAAAAGAAGCAAAATAGGCAACTACATGCTACTCAACGTGAACAGGAACTGGTAATTTTCTTGTTGTCTAAAGTATTTTTACTTTGTTATTCCTGCAGAGAAAAAGGAAACAGGAAATAAGGAAGAAAAAAGAAGAACAGAAGAAGAAAAAGATTAAGCATGAGGACAACCACTGTCAGGATGAAGAGGTGAAGCAAGAAATTTTTTAACCATCTTGTCTTAAACGGAGCTAATTGACAGTATAAAGTATAACTTTTTTCAAATTCTTGTGGAATAAAGTTGTGGCACCATAATTGAACCCAAGAAAAAGAGAAAATCTGGACTGCAAAGGTCCAAGCCAATCAAAGTTATTGATCTTCAGATTGTTCTTTAAAAATGAATGCTGCTGTGGGCTTCGGGAAGTCGTATGCTTCGGACAAAAGCTTTGCTGACCAAGGGCCTGCCCTACCGTTTCTTCTGCAACTCTTGCGGCTTTTTGCTGAGATGCTCGTTACCATGTAAATCCATGTACAAAGTGATCCATCGAGCGCCTACAGTCGCAAAATCTCACAGTCGCGATGGTGACCAACTTTTTCGTCACTAGCAAACGGCTGTCTGTCTCCTTTGATCCTCTTGTTTCTGTCCCTGCCGGCGCTAGCAAAACCCGGATAGCACCACAAACGGGCTAGATCTCCTGGAATCCAACTCGTGCGCTTTGCACGCGGCCCAGGCCCCGCGCTCCATATCGTTGTGAGCTTTACACGCATTGAGCAGAGCCGTCCACGCGCTTATATGGGGCCGCACTGGCATGCTCGCGATCAGCTCCTCGGCCTCGTCGATCCAACCAGCCCGGCAAAAGAGATCCACCAAGCAGCCAAAGTGAGCCGGGACAGCCTCAACCTGGTAGTCTTCCACCATGCCCGAGTAAAACTCTCTCGCTCGATCCAGGAGTCCGAGGTGGCTGCAAGCAAACAGCGCGCACAGCAGCGTCACGCCGTCCGGCCGCGTCCCACTCAGCTCCATTCTCTCGTAGAGCTTGAGAGCATCGGTGGCATGGCCGTGCTGGGCATAAGCACCGATCAGCGAGTTCCATGTCGCCACCGTTGTAGTCTTCATCCCCTGGAACACCGCTTCCGCCTCTGCGAACTTCCCACACTTGCCGTACATGTTTACCACGGCCGTCGCTACAAAAACATCCGTGACCATCGTCGTCCCCTCCACAAGCCTGTGAATCTTCCGGCCTTCGGCGAGGTTCTCGACGCTGGTGCACGCGTCCAGAGCACAGACGAGAGCCACCGCGTCTGGCCTGACGCCTTCCACGACCATTTCCCTGTAGAGATCCAGAGCCCTGCCACCGTAGCCGTGTTCTACCATCCCCATGATCATGCAAGTCCAGCTGACGACGCTCCGCCTCTTCATTCTCTCAAACACCGCGACGGAGTCCTCCAGGCTAAACTTGTTGTAGGCTGTTATCAGAGTGTTGCCGACTTGTTCGTCCTGTTCCAGGCCCTGATCCGCAAGCTCTTGATGGATTTCCCTGAGCTGTTCTATGCTGGAGCAAGCCGGAAGCAGGCTCAAGTACGTGACGGAGTTTGGCTGAAGCCCCGCTTTCTTCATTCGCCTGTACAGATCTACGGCCTCTTTGCAATGCCCGAGTTGGGAACAAGCCGTAAGCATTGCGTTCCATGTCACGTCACTTCGCTGTTTCATCCCCTCAAATACAGCCCTGGCATCTTCCACACTGCCGCACTTCCCGTACATGTTGAGCAGCGCAGTCTCGAGAACGACCCCAGGTGTGATTCTACTGTCCACAATTTGTCTGTGGACCTGTCTGCCATCTTCGAGGGACTCCCGGCTGTTGAATGCCCCCAGAATAACTGTGAATGTCACCGAGTCGGGAGCTACGCCCATTCTCTTGAAAAGCTCGAAGGCTTCTTTCCTGCGTCCCTGTTGAATGTAAACTGACATGAGAGCATTCCACGAGATCACGTCCCGGAAAGCAATCCTGTCAAACACTCTCTTTGCATCGCTCAAGCTCCCACACTTCCCAAACATGTTCACCAGTGCATTTCCAACGAATTTGTCCCTCTCGAGCCCTGCAGAGACAACGTCCTGGTGAATAAGCCGTCCGCTTTCAAGAGTGCAAGCGTGTAAAACGTTGAGAAAAGTTACCCTGTCCGGCTTCAAGTTCATGTCATAGTAAAGCTCTAGCGCCTCCGAGAAGTGCCCGTTCTGGGCATATGCGGCAATCATCACGTTCCAGCAGACAACATTCTTCACAGGGATCCGGTCGAAAATCTTCCTGGCTTCTTCAGCACTGCCGCATCTGCCATACATGTTCATGAGCGCAGAGTCAAGGATCAAGCTAGACTCCAGCCCACTCTCAAAAAAACGCGAATGAAACTGCTTACCTTCTTCCAAACTCCCCACCAAGGAGCAAGCAGTAGCAGCTGTAACGAAGGTGACTCTGTCTGCGCGGATTCCGTGAACATCAACCATCTGCTTGAACAATTCCAGAGCCTGATCTCCAAACCCATTGTTGCAGTAGGCACCCAGCATGAGGTTCCACGAAAAGCAGCTGCTTCTCTTTATCGAGTTGAAGACGTCTCTGGCTTCTTCCACACTCCCACACTTGCCGTACATCTCCACCAGCGTGTTGTCCACTGCCTTGAGCTGCCCGTTCGCGACAAGGTGCCGGTGGATGCGCCTGACGTCGTCGAGAGACTTGTGATCCCCCGCTTGCCGGAGAAGTGATGCGTACGTAGCCGAATCGATCTCCATGCTTTGCTCGTCTAGCAAATCGAGAGCACTCTGGAGCTGCTTCAAACAACCCATCTTGCTGCTGCTGGTAGCTCTGGCTGTCGAAGATGGTGGTGACTTTCTTACGATGTTACTTGCCCATTTCCGCATCAGCAGGATGTCTACTTGCTTGAACCATAGGCTAGATAAAAAGAAGAGAGAGAAACAATGTGGTCATTTTACCCAAACTCCAAACTCAAGATGTTTACCAAGATTTTCTCAAGATTTTCTAGTTGTCGGTCTCTTCCTCGGCCTGTGCAGCAGGCAAAAAGTATGTATCCAGTTGCCAGTATTTCTCTCGGACCCCTTCCCAGGTCTTCTCGTCCAGGCAGCTCCTCACTGGCAAAGGAATGAACTGAGTGGTGAGACCGATCTGTGCAAGTTCCAACGCCACCAGCTGACAGTAAACAACGTGAAAGAACGCATTGTGTCCGCACAGACCATTGAAGTAGGAGTAGATTCCTCCAGGCTTCAAGAGTTTTGGTAGCTGGGAGTGGAACTCTCGCATATCTTCGTAGTACTCCCCGTAAGTGTCAAAGAAAATCCCTGTGTAACAAGATTTTTAGCTGCAAGTAATGCGAGATGGAACTTACCATCATACTGTCCCAGCTCGGAAATAACATCTTGCCATCGCCCGAAGACAATTCGAACGTTCGCCTTCTCTTTCCAGCCTGTGGAGATCATTCGAGCGTAAACATCTGGATGCGCTTCGATGATCGTGTGAGACGATGGATTGTAGCTCTGGATCGCAGTGTCGACGAGTCCCATGCCAAAGCCGACGTTGAGAATGTCGTCACCACCGCAGCAAACCGCCTTAGCGTGAGCTTCCATAAGAGGTCTCTCCCACGCCATCATAACGCCCTCACTCTCCTCGTTCACCAGCTTTCCTTCACTAAAACTTAGCCGAGCTTCCAAGTAGTCCTTGTTGGAAAATTCGCTGTTCTTGGTGGTTTGTCTCGAGGCCGCTCCAAGCACGAGCTCAGCTTTCACGCCTTCAAGGAAAAGGAAAGAAATATATCGATCACATTGCCAGGGAAATCGCAAAATCGAGCAAGAAATCCATGGAAACAAGAAAAACTAGGGAAGAACAATACCGAGGGAGATCGCAAAATCGAGCAAGAAATCCATGAAAACAAGAAAATCTAGGGTGGCATCGAGAAGCATGATCACATTGGGAGGGAAATCGCAAAATCGAGCAAGAAAAACCTAGGGAAGAGCAATACCGGCATCAAGAAGGATGTCGTAGCAATCCTGGTGACCCGCGTCCATGGCATAATCTCCAGCGCAGCGTCCGGATCGATCCAACGCGTTCCAGGGAGCGCCGGCATTCAAGAGAACACGCACTACCTCGGAATGCCCAGCTTTTGCCGCGGCGATGAGCGGCGTGAGACCTGTAGATGGATTCGCGTAGCTCGCATCCCCGCCGGCTCGAATCAGCTCTCGCAGCTCCGTGGCATCGCCCCGCGCCGCGGTATCGAGCAGCGCATCCATAATCTCTCGCGAATGAAACAACTCTACCTAGGGTTCTTGGAGGGGATGAGATGTTTTTGAAAAAAATTTGGATGATACATTTGAGCGAGACCTCGATCACTCTTCCATGGCGATTGCCGCTGGTGCTGGCTCCGGCGCTGGCGATCCTTCGGTAGTGGAATCAGCTGGCTTGGGAGGCAGTGGCGTCGGCGGCAGCCCTCGACCCTTGTTGCGCTTCCGGGGCCGCGACTGGCATCGCAAATCGATCGATTGGAGGCCTCAACCAGTGAATCTAGAAAGAAGAAAAGGAGCTTACATTGCCAAACGAGTGCCTGAATCGCTTCCCTTTGGCTGTGCGCTTGTCGCCCCTTCCACAGTAGACTGTTTCCATCAATCGTCAATCGATCAGATAGAGAGAGAGCATTGTAGAGCAAGAACGAACCAGATGGATAACACGAAATAGATGGAACGCAAGCGAGCTGTGCCGGCCGCGTTGGCGCGTGAATTGCCAGGGCGCTGGAGCTGCCAGCGAGGAATGCTGCTCGATTAGACGCCATGGCCGTGGCCATCGCTGGAACCTCCAAATTCCAATCCCTTGTCTTGTGAGAAATTCCTCATCCAATCCATTAGAAATTATTTCTCATTAAGCACTATGAGCTACACAAGAGGAGATCTCACACAAGTGGTCAGGATGGCCGAGTGGTCTAAGGCGCCAGACTCAAGTTCTGGTCCTCTTACGAGGGCGTGGGTTCGAACCCCACTTCTGACAAATATGATTTTTTTTTCACGTTTAAAGTTTTGTTTAATCTCACTAATGCATTGTGTCTCCCACTTCCTTTCTCTGCAATGAATCAAGCAATCCAGTCATACATTTATAATCTCAATGCAAGTCTCCCCAAGATCAAAAGAACAGCAATTGTGAGAGCTCAAGACACTTCCAAGCCCATTTTGGCTGGATCAAGGTAATGAAATGCATTGTCAACTCTTTCCTTGATTGAAAGATCTCCCCGTACTCGTGTAAAGATCACAAAAGCCAATCTCTAGTTCTGGACAACGGTATGCGTGAAGAGAGAAGTATCAATTTGATTTCTCAAAGAGTTCCTCTTTTTTGCTAGATCTGAGGATGTTTTCAAAAGCTCCAGCCCGATTTCTACTAATCTCAGGTGAGTGGTAGCTCTTCCCAAAAGATACTGCTCATGCCAATCGACTTCTCTGCATAAGATTTGACAGGTTTTTGGGGCTGGCATCACTCACAAGGCCGGACGATGTTGTCCCGTCCTTGATGCTGAGCTTGGGAGGGAGCTGGATGACCGCAAACTTAAGCCTGGAGTTTATCAATCTTCCATTGGTGTGGACGACCGCTCTTTGCAGCGCTTGCATCGCCGGGGCTTCTATGCTCGCCAACGATTGCTACGATCACAGCAATGGGACCGACGCCCTCAACAAGCGAGAGTCAGCGCTCGAGAGTGGCCAATTGGAAGTAGCTCACGTAAGAATATTATAGTCACATTCATTAAGAATTCTAATAGCAGTTTGATTCGTCAAGGTTGCATTGGCTAGTGGATGTATCTATGGCGCCGCTTTGCTGGGAGCTTGTTACTTGGAGACTCTAAATGCGAGGCTTTTGGTCGCCACCTCGGCTTTGATAACTTTCATCTATACACCTTTGTTCAAGAAGGTGACGATAGTGAAGAATTTGGTGGTGGCAGCTGTGGTAGCGAGCTCTATTCTCGCTGGAGGCTTGGCAATCACAGGTGAATTGATAGATCACACAAGGATCTTTTCAAGTCATAATATGAAATACATCTCTTTTGTAGGAGATGCTGCAAGTTTTCCGATGAGAACTTACGCCTCCACTCTCTACCTCTTCTTCTCGATTTTGGGGCGTGAGATTCTCATGGACGTGAAAGATGTGGATGGGGATCGAGTCACAGGTGTGAGAACTCTCCCGGTTATGTTTGGAAGGAAGCTTGGGATAGTTTTATCCGGAGCATGCTCGCTGGGAGCAAATATTTTCCTGGTAAAATGGTTTTAATTACCACAAAGTAAAAATGCTCTAACCAGAGATAATATGTATGCAGGCAAAGCTTTTGTGGTCCAACTCTTCACACTTTGTGTTGCTCATTGCGATGGTGAACTCGTTTCCAATGCATTTTAAGCTGCTTAAACTACTCATGTTTAGCAATGGCGATGCTAATGTGGAAAGCTTGGTCAAGCTGGATACAAAGTTTACTATGGCATTTGGTCTCTTCCTCCTCGCCATAGCAGTATAAAGTAATTCAATTAACTAATGTTGTAAGAGAGATCCACAAACTTTATCGGTCAGCTTGAGCGCAAAGCAGAACATTGAGATCGAGTAGAGCAACAAAGCTCTAGAACTCTATATGTGTGACTGACCAGGTCTGACCATTTTGTTTGAAGCTCAGAGATAAGGCCAAGAAACTAGCCTTGATGGTTTCTCTTCATCTATGCAATGGAACATCAGCCTGTTCTGAAACAATTGAATTTTCACAGTGGAATCTTCGTCAGTCGATCCAATTTGTCTTTGTATAAACAAAGGTGAATATAAGGAGAAGGAAAGGAAAAGAGAAACACGACAGGTTAGTCGCTCTCGGTTCTTCCACAGCAGCAAATGCATTAGTAGACTGTGGTGGCTTCCTTATGTCTCGCAAAGATCCTTCTTAAATGACAACATACTCAGAAGAAAGGCCTTTTTCTCTCAGGATCTCCGCAAGACTTGAGGAAACCACCACAGTCTACGATTCTAATACACTTGAAAACATATTCGTTGTAAGTCTTGCAGTGATTTGCTGCAATACACTTCACTTCAATCTTCTTATATAGCAGTCTCTCTGTGAGATCAACGATAACATACTCACTTTCTTCTCTTCTTTTCCTTCAGTTCAGTCGCTTCCACAAGACCACTGTGGTGGCCTCTTCAAGTCTTAGACAGATCCCTGTTGTATGTGCTTTGAAACAAATAGCCAGTCGCAGAATACACAAAGCTACCTGTTAGAGAGGTCCACAACTTTTTCGCTCAGCTTTGAGCACATTTGAGCGCAGTGTCTTGCTTCGCGCTGAAGGATCGAATCCACTGTTCCACGGCACAGTTTTCCAAAGCAAGAAGTGCACTCCCGGACGAGTAACTCCCTGGCTTTGCTGCTGTTCCCGTTATGTTGTGCGAAGACTGTTAGCAAAGTAAGCAAGCCTTCGTAGCCTGGAGCTGTGAAGGAAAGAGCCTCCATGATAGCTTCCCATGACGGAGGCGCCTGCCTCGTTATAAACTTCTCAAACTCCTCTCGGTTTAGAAGGTAGACTTCGTATGCTTTGTAGTACGAGGCCCGCATCCAGTGCTTGTGCCGCTGAGCATCCGGACCTTTCCATCTGCTTATCATCTTCTCTACCGTGCATGCCATCTCGCTCACTTCGAACAAGTCCAAGTTGCTCGGCTCCTCGAGCATCTTTTCCATCTTGATACCAGAGTTTACGAGATCCCGGTTCTCGGAATGGAGCTTCGACTCGAAGTGGCACCTCTCGCAAGCGCACTCAAATCCCCAGCGAGACTCTGTCTGCCTGCTTCTCACGTCCCACGGCATGAAAGGATCCAGGTATGCCAAGGTAACTTCGTCGCCCGCTTTCAAGTCCCTTGCCGCTCTCACGAGCGAGGCAGATCCCACGGCCTTCTGTGTGGCGCTCGGACAACACGAATGGTTGGCAAAGGCCGTGAGAATCCACAGCCCGGATAGAAACTCGCGTCGCCGCTCTAGTCCTATCACCCGCTCGAACTTGTACCCATAATCGATGGAAGTCTTCCTTGCGCAAGCCGGAATGTCGATGAATCCGATCCTCTGCTGCCAGTTTGTATTCGGCTTGAAGAGATTCAGCTCTGGAATCTCATCGGACTCTACAAGTGATACCAGCTGCTCCAAACTTCTACCCGAGGCCATGCAGTTTCGGACCATCTGTGCAAGAAGATCACTCTCTGCCGGGAGTTTTTCTGAGTCGTGCATAGCAGACAAGGGGTGGCAAAAGAAAAAAACGTCCCCGGCCTTTACATCCTGTGTTGCAAACAGTCCCCTTCCTTTCCCATCTGGAGACATGCCGATTCTCACAGCACCGACAAATTCTCCACACTCGGGCGTGGATTTTCCCGACTCCCTGCTCAAGTAGTACTCGTCCAGATCGAAAAGTCCCTGCTCGCTATGCTCTAAGAACCTCCTACATCTTTCCATCTCCCTAGAAGTATCGTCCGCCAGACCAGACGACTCAAAGCATTCTAGAGCTGCTCGATAGTCATGAAGTTTCAAGAGAGCTCTTGCTTTCCTCAGCAGATTCTCGGAGGAGAATGGACCCTCCGGCTGGAGTTTCAGTGCCATCTCGGCATCCTCGAGAGCCTTGTCGAGAAGTCCTGCTCGCAGCCAAGCCTCTGATCGATAAGACAGCGCTGCAATCCTGTCTCCCTTCTCAGAACTCTCGTGAACAAAGTTGGTGAAGAGATGCGCTGCGCGAATGTACTCATGGTTTTCCAAAGCAACCATCGCGATTTTCCACGGGTCTTCGTCACTGCCTTCCAGTTCTATTCCCGAGATCTCTAGCGAAGCTGGGTTGAGCACCTCGATGCATGGAACACCATCCTTGGCGAAGGAGACCACGGGATCCCTGATACCCACCGTCGCATCTCTTGGAAACCACTGCCGAGCTTCCTTTTCCGTCCACCAGGAGCTCGCGAAGTTGCAAAGGAAGAGGTAGTAGCGGAAGCTCTGCTCGTCTTCCACGACGTGAACAATGATCCCTTCCCTGACCTCGGCATCGATGCACAGCTTCCCCTGGAGCAATCTCCCAGAAAAATGCTGCTTCGTGAGATCCTTCCCGCGAGCTTCCCTGATCTCGGCCAGCGAAATCGGTTCCAATCCAAGAACACTGCTGTGTGATCGTGGAGAGCGCTGGCATTGATAGCTTTGAAAGAATGGAAGAAGAGCGCTAGACTTACCAGATCGTATCAACGCCCTGACATTCTGGATGGATCGCCTCGCAGCGCTCCACAGCGCCATCCAGGAATCACTTGCCCTAAAATTTGATCGATCCAGCATAGACTATTTGCCATGCCCGCCAAATGCTCGATTCCAGTCTGTTCTTCGATCGATCCAGCTACGCGCAGCTCTTGAGACAATGCCGCGATCTGGACGACTGCCGCCGGCTCGAGGCCAGCGTGCTGGGCAGCGAGCACCGCCGCGATCTCTTCCTCCGAAACCTGATCATCGAAATGTATGGCAGATGCGGCAGCGTGCGCAACGCCAAGCGCGCATTCGACGAGATCGCGATCCCAAACGTCTTCTCCGCCAACATCCTCATCGCCGCCTATGCCCGCGCTGGGAATCTCGCTGGCGCTCGCGGCGTCTTCGATGGAATGAGAGAGAGGAACGTTGTAACCTGGAACGAAGTAATCACTGCATATTCCCACTGTGGCATGGTCGACGAGGCCTGGATGCTGTTTCAACGGATGCCCACGCGCGACGTTGTGTCGTGGACGGTCATGATCACAGCGTTTGCCATTGCCGGGGACTGTGAGAGCGCGAGGTCTGTGTTTGATACCATGCCTCATAGAACTATCGTTTCATCAAATGCTATTCTCACTGCCTATGTAGAGAATGGATCGTTTTACGAGGCGATTGATTTCTTTGATCGAATGGAAGAAAGGAATCTTCTCACATGGACGGCGATCGTCACAGCACTTGCCCAAAGAGGGCATTTGGACAAAGCAAAGAGTTTCTTTGATCGAATGCCGCAACGCAGCTTGATCGCCTGGAATGCCGTGATTGTTGGCTACTGTCGCGAGCCCGAGCGATTGGACGAGGCCAGGGAGCTTTTCGATGCTATGCCGGAGAGGGATTGTGTGTCTTGTAATGCAATGATCGGCATCTATGGCGATAGAGGAGACATCGCTCAAGCAAGAACGATATTCTCGCAATTCCGGGGCGAGGAAAGTGTGTCTCTGAGCACGGCGATGGTCGTGGCATATTCGCACAATGGGCATTTGCTTGAGGCTAGGAATGTGTTTGATAGAGCGCTGGAAAAGGATATAGTGTTGTGGAATGCAATGCTTTGTGGATACGCACACAATAGTTGTTTAGATCAAGCACGGAGTTTTCTTAGCATAATGCCCGAGTATAACACGGCCACCTGGAATATTCTAATAACCGCAAATGCCCGGGAGAGAGATGTTTCGTTAGCCAGGGAAGTTTTTGACAAAATGCCTGTCGAAAAGAATGTAGTGACATGGAATGCATTGCTAGGCGCTCTCTCTCAAAATGGCCTCTGTCAAGAGGCACTGAGGCTTTTTCGGCTTATGGATCTGGAGGGAATGCCCTTCAATGAAGTGACTCTAGTCACAGCACTAGATTCCTGCGTGGAGATTGAAGATGCGAGAATCCTCCACGACTGTATAAATGGAAAAGGCTACGGTTGTAGTGTTTTGGTAGGAAATGCGCTTGTAAGTTTGTATTCTAGATGTGGGTCTCTAGAAGATGTGAAGTGTGCTTTCGATGCGATGCCCACCCATAGCATATCATCGTGGAATACCATGATCGTTGCATATAGCCGGAATGGACATATAGATCTAGCAAAGACAATGTTCCAGCAAATGCCACAGAGGAATATCCTTTCGTTGAATTCGATGGTCTCGGCATATGCCCAAAACGGCCATAGTGACTTGGCAATTGAATTAAAGTCCAGCCAATTTGATGAAGTGACACTAGCGGCATTGGTTGATGCGTGTGCTAGCTTGAGTGACCCTTTGGAGGGGAGACTAATCCACAGAGAGGCCGTCAAAGCGGGGCTCCAGGCGGATCTAACGGTCAGGAACTCGCTGATCAACATGTACGGCAAATGCGGCAGCGTGCGGGAGGCCGCGACTGTCATGGAGACAATGACGTGCCGTGACGTGCTAACCTGGAATGCCATGCTGACGGCCTATTGCCAGAACAGCATGATCCCAAGTGGACTGGAGATGTTGCTGGTGATGAGGATGGAGGGGATCGAGCCGGATACCACCACGCATTCCATCGTACTGTCGGCATTTAGCCACGCTGGCATGGTGGAAGATGCCTGCGCGTACGTGGCTGGATTTGCCGGGCATTTGGACTCCGACCACTACATGTGCGTGGTGGATCTCCTCGGCCGCGCTGGCATACTCGATATGGCGTGGATGCTGATTCAGCAGGCGCCACGTCAGAAAGGGGACGATCCCTTGCTGCCTTGGACAACGCTCCTTGCGGCGTGTAGAATGCACGGGGATGGGAAGACTGGCTTAAACGCCGCAAAGAATGCGATTAGTTTAAACCCTTGTAAATCATCGCCCTACATTCTCGCCTCCTCAACCATGTGGTGATATCAATCCTTATGCTTTATTGTGGGTGCTATGAGGCCGTGTAAGCAATATCTGTGAGATCAAATATTTACATTCTCTGGTGTGTATCCTTCATGGTCCCTTGACGCTGACTATAAGTAGTCAATTTCAAGTATAGTCAACAAAAAGTCCAAAGCGTGTCCAAGTGCCGGTGCCAACGCATGGGAGTTGGTTTTGTTTGTTTAGAAATTTCAGACAGAAGCCCACTTTTCCAGGGAAGTCAAAACCTGCCCATCCGACGTGGCGAACGACTATTAGGTGATCGCTTGTCCGGGCATTGACGAAGAGAGTTTGCATTTAGGACGGGCTCCACCTCGGATGCCAGCTCGGCATTTCTATCGTGGACGGGCAGCCGTCGGATCGATTGTCGGCTCGTAAGAGTACTCCTTACACGTGAAAGATGCGGCTTACCGGCCATTGGCTTTCAAAAACCCTCCACACACATTCCCTCCCTCCGTGTTGTTATGGGCCTTATATATCCTTGCCTCTGGAAAGAACAGGGCAAAATATTTTGGGCTCGTCGAGACGATCGCCGCCCTGGTTCTTGATGATTCTTGATCAGCTGAATCGCTTGCCGGCGCCGCGTCTGCTCGATTAGGTCTGATTCAGCGCCAGTTCTTGCGCGGATCGCCATGGATTCTTCGGCGGGGTCGATATTTCTTGTCAAGGGCTCCAGCTTGCGATCGATGAGCCGCGGCAGCAGCGTCTTCTCGATCGAGTCCGGCAGGGAGTACGATGAGGAGGACGCATTCAAATGGGCGTCGCTGGAGAAGCTGCCGACTTACAATCGCATGCGCACGGCGCTGCTGCCCAGCCCCGCCGACGACGACGAGGCCGGCAAGTTCAAGCACAATGAGATCGATGTCACTCGGCTCCAGGGGCAGGAAAGGCGCATTCTTGTGCAGCGGATTTTCAGGGTCGCGGAGCGCGATAACGAGCGAATGCTGCGCAAGCTGCGAGAGCGAATCGATTTGTAAGTGCGATTGCTCTGCGTTCTTTTCTTTTCCCTGTCCGAGGCTTTGCGATTAATTTTTCCTATCACAGGGTCGGGATCCAATTGCCAAGAATTGAAGTGAGGTTTGAAAACTTGAGCCTGGAAGCCTCGGTGCACATAGGACGAAGAGCTCTTCCCACGCTCTACAATTTCACGATCGACGCAATTGAGGTAAGTCGTGAATCCTATGTATGCTCGAATTATCTTCACTGGTTCCAAATTTCCTTGTAGAGCATCTTACAAATTCTCAACCTTTCATTCTCCAAGAAGAAGCAGCTTCACATTTTGCGGGATGTTAGTGGCGTCATTAAGCCCAGCAGGTTCTTTTCTTTTTCTATATCTTCTCTCGGAGATCTAGAACGAGTGAACTTACGGTCCTTTCAGGATGACACTGCTTCTGGGTCCACCTAGTTCGGGAAAGACGAGTCTGCTGCTGGCGCTTGCCGGAAGGCTTGATCCATCCTTGAAGGTAATAACGATCCAGCGAGTTCGTGTGCTTCAAAGGCACTATGTTTCTTGTAGGTTCGTGGTAAGGTGACATACAATGGGCATGACATGACCGAATTTGTACCGCACAAGACATCAGCTTATATCAGCCAGCATGATTTACATACTGCCGAGATGACAGTTAGAGAGACGCTTGATTTCTCTGGGCGCTGTCAAGGAGTGGGTACCAGATACGGTGCGTATTGTTTCTTTTTCTGTGTCGTCTTTTCTTTTTAGTTTTCTATTTTCATAACCTTCTGCTTTAACAGAGATGCTGTCGGAGCTCTCGAGACGGGAACTTATGATGCGCGTAAAGCCCGACGCCGAATTGGACGCTTTTCTTAAGGTGAGTATTGGTCGGTTTGCCAAGAAGCAATAAAAAAATCCATGGAGCCTAAACTCAGCTTCGTATTTGACAGGCAACTGTAGTTGAAGGACAAGAGACGAATATTGTGACAGACTACGTTCTCAAGGTAAATGTTTTTTACGACCTACTTGCTTTAAAAATTTACCAAGTTCGAGTATGTTTTTAAGTGTAGATCCTTGCGTTGGACCTTTGTGCGGACGCTATGGTCGGGGACAATATGCGAAGGGGTATCTCAGGGGGCCAGAAAAAGAGACTCACAACTGGTACATTTTCACTGGGAAGATGACTCTGGCCTAACGAAACTTTTTATCTTCCTGCACAGGAGAAATGTTGGTTGGACCTGCTAGAGCTCTTTTCATGGATGAGATATCCACCGGGCTGGACAGTTCAACAACTTTCCAGATTGTTAAATGCTTAAGGCAGACTGTTCATCTCATGGATGCTACCATGCTTGTCTCCCTTCTTCAACCTGCACCGGAAACGTTTGAGCTCTTTGACGATGTTATTCTGCTGTCCGAAGGTAGGATAGTGTACCAGGGTCCTCGTGAAAGAGTTTTAGACTTCTTTGCTATGATGGGATTCAAGTGTCCACAACGAAAGGGTGTTGCGGATTTTCTCCAGGAGGTACCATTTAATATATATATGGCTTTGACTCCCGCTAATGTGGTCTTTTTTTTCCAGGTAACATCATTGAAAGATCAACAACAATACTGGGCAGACAGGACTCAACCATATCAATACGTTTCTGTCGATGAATTCGCGGAGGCATTTTCGAAGTTCAGCGTTGGCCATCAGCTTTCCCAAGACCTTGCAGTTCCATTCGACAAGTCTAGCAGTCATCCGGGTGCACTAGTCACCTATAATCACGCGCTGAGCAACTGGGAGTTGCTAAGAGCCTGCCTGTCACGAGAAGCATTGCTGATGAAGCGCAATAGTTTCGTGTACATTTTCAAGACGGTCCAGGCAAGTTGTTGTCATTCGGGCTTTTTTCTCAAGATCTTACGTGGGTTTTTTTTTTATACAGTTTGCAATAACAGCATGCATAGCAATGACTGTGTTTTTGCGCACCAAAATGCATCATAGCACCGTCGGTGATGCAAATATTTACATGGGAGCTCTATTCTTTGGAGTGCTCGCTGTAATGTTCAACGGGTTGGCGGAGCTTGTGATGACAGTTGAACGACTTCCCGTGTTCTACAAGCAACGGGACTTAATGTTCTATCCTGCTTGGGCGTATTCCCTTCCTTACATAGTACTGAGGATACCATTGTCAGTCATTGAACCCGCCATATGGGTGCTTCTAAGTTACTGGGTTATCGGTTTCGCTCCTGAAGCTACAAGGTACGCATATTTGTCAGCTATGAGCAACCGACGAGTGTGGATTTTGAAACCAGGGTATTGCAACACTTCATTGTGCTTGTCTTCGCTCACCTAATGTCAGGAGGACTCTTTCGATCTCTAGCCGCCCTTGGACGGACCCGAGTTGTGGCAAACACATTTGGCTCATTTGCCTTGCTGATTATTTTTGTGATGGGAGGCTTTGTCCTATCTAGAGGTAACAACGTCGCCATGCTCACAAGGAAACTAACTGTTTCCTATGAACAGACAATATCCCTTCATGGTGGACGTGGGCTTATTGGACTTCACCTATGATGTACGCCCAAAATGCTATCTCTGTGAACGAGTTTGAAGCAGAAAGATGGCAAAAGGTACGTGTACTAGAATGTTTGCATCCCTACATCTCACAAATGCCATTTCACTTATGCAGCCCGTTCTGAACTCTACTGGTAGTATTGGAACAGAAATTTTGCATGCCCGTGGACTCTTTTCCAGTTCTAGCTGGCTATGGATCGGGATAGGGGCACTATTTGGATTCTCGATCTTGCTAAACGCGATCTTTGTTCTTGCCATGACTTATCTGAGAGGTACTTGCAATTGTATCTCTGTTATAAAGTTTGCTGACCCGCGTCAAATTCAGCTCCCGGAAAACCTCAAGCAGCTGTTTTGGAAGAAGAAACGACGAATGCGACCATTTCTCGTCGGTACTCTGGAAAAAGCTCTAACCGCTACTCTCATAGTCGTGGTAATTCGTTGTCATTTATTTGCCACCCGTTTCGTCTCTGATTAAGCTCTGGCTTCAGGCATTGAGATGTCAATTCGGGATGCTGAGGATATTGAGTCGGGTGGAATCTCAAAGCGGGGAATGGTGCTACCGTTTCAGCCTCTTGCTCTATCCTTCCATCATGTGAACTATTACGTCGATTTGCCATCGGTGAGTTTATCTTGTTGTATACGTGAATTTCTTAACGCGTAATGAACAACAGGCAATGAAGCAGCCAGACGCAGACACGCAAAGGTTACAGCTACTGCGTGATGTTAGTGGTTCATTCAGGCCGGGAGTTCTTACGGCACTGGTGGGAGTCAGCGGTGCTGGCAAAACTACATTGATGGATGTCCTGGCTGGAAGGAAAACTGGTGGATACATTGAAGGTGATATCAGAATATCTGGATACACGAAGAAGCAAGAAACGTTTGCAAGAGTAGCTGGATACTGCGAACAGACAGACATTCATTCTCCCAACGTGACCGTGTACGAGTCACTGGTTTTCTCTGCTTGGCTTCGTCTGCCTCGAGTGGTTGACAGAAAAACCAGAGAGGTAATTTATATCTTGGTTTTTGTTTGTAGACTAAAAAATTTGCTTCTCTGACAGATGTTCTTAGAAGAGGTCATGGAACTAGTGGAACTTACTCCTCTGAAAGATGCACTGGTGGGCTTTCCTGGCGTGGATGGTCTTTCCACCGAGCAAAGAAAAAGGCTGACAATAGCAGTGGAGCTGGTTGCGAACCCTTCAATTATTTTTATGGACGAGCCTACCACAGGGCTGGATGCACGGGCAGCGGCAATAGTCATGCGCACTGTGAGAAATACTGTCAACACTGGCAGAACAGTCGTCTGCACAATCCATCAACCAAGCATTGACATATTCGAAGCTTTTGACGAGGTAAGTTGTTTCTTTTCATGAAAAACACAGGAATTCTAAATGACCAACCGGATGTTTCGTAATGCAGCTTTTGTTGATGAAATATGGTGGAAGAATAATCTACGCAGGTCCCCTCGGTCAGAATTCTCAAAAATTGACAGACTATTTCCAAGTAAGCATTTTCATCCACATTCAGTGTTACTCAACCCTTTACATTACATTGCAGGCACTTGAGGGTGTCCCAAGGATAAAAGAAGGTTATAATCCAGCAACATGGATGCTTGAAGTAACGTCCGCGACAGTGGAGAGCCAGATAGGCGTGGATTTTGCCGAACACTACAGGAATTCTTCTCTTTATCAGTACGTACTTTCTCTGATGATATGACTTCTCACGTTGTGAGCTTTTTTCCACATTCAGGAGGAACGAGGCGATGATAAAGGAGCTCTCAGCCCCGGCTCCAGGCAGCAGTGACCTCGAATTCTCGAGCACTTTCGCCAGATCGTTCACGGAGCAGTGTGTGGCGTGCCTGTGGAAGCAGCAGTGGTCGTACTGGCGCAATCCAACGTACTGCGCCGTGAGATTGTTCTACACATTGGCATGCGCGCTGCTCTTTGGTAGCATGTTCTGGCGACTGGGATCCAACAGGTCTGTCTCGTCCTTCCTTTTCTTTTACTTTTTCTCTAGAAAGCTTTTGCCGATATGGAAGATCTCTATACTGCGCAGGAATAACCAGCAGGACATTCTCAATCTCTTGGGATTCTTCTACGCTGGTGTCCTTGGCATTGGTCTCAACAACGCATCCACGGTACAATCGGTTGTAGAGATTGAGCGCGTTGTGTACTATCGCGAGAAAGCCGCTGGCCTCTACTCGGCATTCTCATACGTGATTGCTCAGGTTAAGCAATATTTACCATCTTGCATGGTTTTAATCCTTGGAACTTTTATCTCTTCCAGGTGATTATTGAGCTTCCTCACGTATTCCTCCAAGCCGTGCTACACGTCGCCATTACTTACCCCGCGGTGAATCTCGAGTGGACGGCCGCCAAGTTTATGTGGAACCTCTTCTTCGTCTACTTCTCCTTCCTCATCTTCACCTTCTATGGAATGATGGCCGTTGCTATCACGCCCAACGAGCAGATCGCCGCCGTCATCTCCAGCGCCTTTTACCTCGTCTGGAACCTCTTCTCGGGCATGGTCATTCCGTACAAGGTAAGGATCAATGCTTCCATCCATTTGTATGTATGTCTTTGACGATCCTCTTGCTTGCAGAAAATCCCAGTGTGGTGGAGATGGTACTACTGGGCGAATCCCATTGCCTGGTCTCTGTACGGTCTCCTCACATCGCAGCTGGGCGACGTGGAGACGCTCATTGCGGTGCCTGGTGTTGGCATGCAGTCCGTGAAGAGCTTCCTGGAGGACTACTTTGGCTTCCACCACGATTTTCTCGGCGTTGTGGCGGCGGCTCACGTTGGAATTGTTATCCTGTGCATCTCGGTGTTTGCCCTCGGGATCAAGCACTTGAATTTCCAAAACAGATGACACTTCCCCCGGTGTCGACATTGTATAGATCGAAAGAAAAGAAATCGACACTAACCTTTTGCGCTTAGTTTCCTCGTCCACGAATTGTTGAAGCAAATGGCGTTGAGTCGGTGTGATGTTCCTGCGAAGTTTCGTCACAGCGATGAATTGTTGATCGGTAGAAAGTTGGAGTTTACTTACTTTGGAATTTATACTTGGCAGTGGATGTATTCATCCCCGGAGACATCCGAGTTGAACCTCTGAATGCCTGGAATAAGTTTTTATATATCATATCGAAATAAATAGATAAGAAAACCACGAGCCTTTTCCTTTCAAAACGAGGACTTCGCCATACTGTGTTCCAGGTTGAATCTGCAAAAAAGATTGTCAAATCTGAGAAGCTCTGATCCTAACCTTTGTGTTAACATTCCCGGATAGTGTTGGTACCGACACTTCGCCACCGAGAATTGCCTGTTCAACCATTTGAGTTTGAGTGATACTGAAGAGAGACAACAATTGTACCGCTGTGAAGTCGATCGCCAAGTTCATGTGGACGTCCTCTCTTTCTCTCCAAAAGACCGGATCATCCAGGACCTACATAACAAAATTAGTTGCTTGGATATGCTTTCAAACGGGCAAACCTTCAAAAAAAGTATAAGATCAATAAGTCTCCCAAGCGGATCTCCTTTGCGCATAATTATTCGCATTCCGGTGTCTACTGTTTGGTTATCGTGAAGGAAAAAAACCTAAAGGAGTTGTTTTCTATTGTCATGCACAAACCAAAGCATACCAGGTGGAATTCTCATGTCATGTGTTCTCGTCTCCCTGACAACACCTCCACCAGAACAAACATTACAGAAGTTCTGCAAAAAAGAGAGTAATAAATCAGTAACAACATAGCAACTTTCCATGCTACCTGAGAACCTGATCCCCCAAAAGCTGAGCACGGCACACGAATTATAAAAGGGCCTTGCTTTCGGGCATTCTATCACACAGAGCAGCGTCACGATTAGATTTTAGAAATCTCCATTTCAACCTTTCCCAGGCCTCGACACTCGGAACAGGGCTGTTGCCTAGCACCAGCTCGGATTCCACTGCCATCTGCAAGCTTAAAAGCTGTTAGATTAAAACCACAGACCAAGATATTTGGAATCATCCATACTGCACATTCCACAGCGTACTAAAGCCAAAAAAGACACAGGATTTTGACATCCATGTGCAGCTTCTCGAAAGCTCAATGACAGAGTTATCTTCAAAAAGGAAAACACGTATGAGTGTGAGTCCGAAACATGAAAATACTTACTTTCACCGCTCGACTACTTTGCATCCACATTGCTCTCATAAGCTGTGCTTGTTTTGTAAGTCAGGTGTTTCACAATGCTCGGAGATTTGCATTTGAATACCTCGTGAATTGCCGAACTAAAATCGGCACAGTTACTAGCGCGCTCATTGAAAGCACCCATTCCCATCTGGAGGAAAGGCTTTCAAACCATCTCCAAAATACGGCTGGTGGATATACCTTGTCATACATTTCTCGCTTCTTCTTGTCCTTGAGAATCTGACCAAAACACTCAAGCAACGTTGCAAAAACGAAGAAACAAAAGACCACTCACTTACTTCATAAGCGTACTGTAATTCCTGAAACTTTAATCCAAGCCTCCGAGTCTCCTTTATTCAAATCTGAATGGAACTGCTTGGCTAGCTGCAAGTTTTTAAGGAAAAAGATCGAAGAACTAGTTTAAAAAAATTAATATGGCACCGACCGAGTAGTAGGCCCTCTTGATTTGATCGGTGCTAGCACTCGAATCCAATCCAAGCACTTCGTATAAGTTCCGTGTGGCCATATCCCGAAAACTAAACGATGCGCGATGGATCAAATGCAAGATATTACCAGTAGAGTGGAAATTTCTCGAGAACAGCTACTGATCCCGCTAAAGCTCGCGGCAGAAAGCATGTAGCAAAAGAAATAAACACACCAAGATTTCGATCGCTTGATCCAAAACCACGATGAGCTCCGCCCCGCAGTGTAATCCTGTGCGCATTCTAGAAAAATGGATGGAATCAAGATCGTGGGAGCATTTGCCTACCCCGGAGCAGCGCGCAAGGATGATCCGCCCGGAGCTCCGCAATAGAGCTCTTGCCGCCATTTTGCCCAAAATAAAAACTAGCCCCAAGCCCTAGACGTGGAAAGTACAAAACGATGACGTGTCAAAAGTGACAGCCACGTTGGCAATCCCATGGCTTTTGGTGTTCTCCGCGCCAAAGAGAGTCCCATTTGCGAGCTCGAGATGGGCGCCCAGCGATCCTAGTCCATTCTACTGCATTTAATCGATCAAAATGCCGGCGGGATTTTCCCTGGGCAGTAATCTGCGGCTGCCCAAGGTGTTTGGGGGCAATGGAATCAGCAGCGCGACATCTCCCCCAGCTCCAATCCGCAAGGGCGTGCTCACGGGAAAATGCGAGTGGGACGTCTATGGCACGCAGCGGCAGCGCAAAGCCAGCGATCTCAAGGAGGTGGAGAGGATCAAGCAACTCATCCACAAGCTCCAGCATCCAGCTATGGCGGCAATGGGAGAGAATTCCAGCCCCCCCGCGGGCGGCAGGAAGGCTTTTGTAGGGTTCTCGTCCGCGAGATCATCCCCGGCCAAGCGTCGCCCCGCGCCCAGCGATGTGCCGCTGGATGAAAGCTCCGAGGGGCTGGAGGAGAAGATGCGCGCCGAGTTTGTGATGATCAAGGATCGATTGAGAAAGATGGAGAAGGATCTCCATCAGTTGGGAACCACGACCAGATAGGAAAGAAATAGCCACGTCATCAGCAGGAGTGCCACGTCATAAACGCGTGGCATTGTCCACGTAGACTCATAATTTCTAGATATAGCTTAGTCCATATCAATCCTAAACATATATATAAGTACAATGTACAAGTATGAACATAATACAAGTAACCTTCCTTGTTATAAAATTCGCCTCGAAAAAGGAGGGTAAAATTTTATGGTTTATTTCAAGGATGAAATGCATTAATTTTAAAGTAAAATTCATAAAGGATGAAAAAAGAGTACATTTTAATTCTCAAAATCTCCTATGAAAATGCTTCCATTTTCACTCCATCCAGCCAGAAAATCTTTGTCAAGACACTAGAAGAAACAAAAGATTGTGAGAGTGGACGAAACTTTCAAGTGTATCACCTTGTCCATTCCAAGCCAGCGTGAATCTCCACGAAAGCCAAAGCTTCGCTTGATAGTTCCTTCAAAATCGTCTTCATTCCATTCGCCTCCAGCAACCTCGAGGCCAAAAAAAAAAAAACAAAACATTTTACTACCAAAACCAGCAAACAAGCTGTTGCTACCTCGTAATCGAGACCATGAGCAAACACATAGCTTTGCTTCGTGGCCGAAAAAGCGATGCCTGTTACCTGAAAGCCTCGATAATCAATCTCAGACTACATACAACTCTAGGAATTTATAAGAGCCAGACCTCGTATTTGAGAGCATTCACCCATCTCGCTCTTGGAATCCATCTAAAGAGAAAACAAACCTTGCAAGAAAACTCTGGCCTGGACAAAGAACGTACCTTCGAGTGTCAAATATTGTCACTGCTCGATCAGCTCCAGCGGCCCCTAGGAGATTGTCCCAAGAGCTACAAACAGAGTATAAGCTCTCGCCTGTGAAGGAACCCAGGAAACGCTGCACACATCCACCTTGCTCCCCGCATCTCAAGTCCCAAATACTTAACTGGAAAAAAATTAAAAATAAACCTTAGAAGTGCTTCTTTTCTCTATATTTTTTCACTACCTGTGGACCCTCACTGATTGCTAAAACAGATGGGGCAGCTCCATGAAGAAATGTTAGCGCTGTTGGACACTGAAGCCTTCACAAAAAGAAAAAAAAGAAAAAGAAGGAAAAAACGGAAGAAAATTACACAAACTCAAGCAAGTGAGGAGGAGCTTGGAAAACTTTACTACTTACGTATGGAAGGTGCGTACGTGTACGTCTCTGTCATATATGTCGATGCTCTTGGCAAATCCTCGTGCCACAGTTATCTGCATTGTTCTTCACATCAAATCTTGGTTCTTTTTTTTATCAATTCTTACCAGCGATGGTTGATGAGGAGAGAAGACGCATCCGGCCCATCCGCCTTCGCCGGCTCCAGGATCAGGAGGAGATACAGCGTAGGATGTTCCTAAAATCCTCTCAAAGTTTGAAACGAAGAAATTAATGCGTGAAGGACACACAAAACTCTGGGAATCTTGCAACCTTTAGAAAGCTTTGAGACCATGAGATGGCCATACGAATCAACAGATGCTAGCAGTGCCTCTTGTGATGGATTGGCTGCAAAGAACTACCATATCTCAGCAAAAGGGAAATAAAATCTACGAGCTCACACAGTGCAATGCATTGAACTTCAGCTCTATGTGGACAATGCTCTAGCTTCTCGGCTTCCAGAATCTGCAAAGCTAGCTCTTAAGAACCAAAATCTGGCAAAGCTAAGAAATGAAAGAGGAAAAAGAAAAGCTCACCCGAGAGTCGGAGGGAACGAGCAAGCCCTCTTTTCCTTCCAAGACACTAGAACACGGCAAGTCGGCCTAGAAACCAAAAACATGAATGGCAACGGAAGCACAGGAAACATCACACCTTGAGGCGATAGATTCGTGACGCCGAAGCGATGTAGACATTACATGCTTCACCACCATCGATTGGAGCCTGGAAAGAAATTGAAAGAAGGAAAAGAAAAATGAGAAAATCGCAAGACCTGGACGGCGACGCGTCGGGAATGTGGAGTTGCGGGCGACGGTAGACCGACAACATGCCTGGGAATTGTTGCACGCACAAGCCTCCTGGCTCTCACCATACATAAACCCACTTTCTAGGGTTCTATGGTCTCATCTTTATTCCTTTTCCACTTTAATTAAAACTAGCATAAGAAATTGTTTTACTTTGGCCCTTGTAAAGCTTAAATAGCCCGCCTTTAAAATGCAACGAAGGCCACTAACTGTATTTTATCTTCTAGCTTAACATATTTAGTTGATATTTATGTATATTCTATTTATGTGCAAGATTTATTTTAATTAGGAAGTTGGATTGTTAAATGTTTATCCATACAAACGATGCTCAATTATTTAAGATCTCCTCCTCATACATATTTGGAGCCCAGCTCACATATTCCTTATTTTTATCTGCTGTGATTTTTCCAATGAGTCATAGATCACTTTATTTGGTGGAGAATTGAGTGAATGCAAAGGTCTTTCTTTATTATACTCCTTTTGTCTTCACGACTTGCTTCTAACAGTTTAAGTTTGAGATTCTTGTATCAATTTGAAAAGTTTCTTGTGTGAGTATTTAGATTTAGATTTGGTGGAGAGCCATCTGAGGAGTGGTTTATTGATGGAATAATATTTCAAGAGATTTGGATTTTTTTCTATCAGCACATGGTGGATAGCATAGTTTCATAAGCTTTCACACACTAGTGATCTTTGTCACCTTCACTTGATGCCATTGAATATATTTGGTTCTCATCTTTCTTTCACAACTTATGGCATTTCAAATTGTCAAGTCTTTCATAAGTTCTAGTA